ATTTTTAGTTCCTCAATTTGTAATAAATGCATTTTTTTCGTACCTCTACTTTGAGTTAAGAGATTAAAAAATATATATATTTAAACAAATTTAATAAAATAATTAATAAAAAATTAAGAAAATGTATTTTTTATAATTGATGAACTAAAAAAAATATATAAAAAATTAAAAAATAAAAATTATGCATAACGTTAAACTTAAAGATCAAAAATAAAATTTATCTTTCTTAAATTTAAAATAATTTGCACCAACCAACTTTTGGTATACCAGCTTTTTACCTCGAAAGATTCGACCGACACATTGAAATTTAATCAAAATAAAATTAAATCATGTATTGTTTCAAATTAAAAATAAAAATTGGTATGTACTAGTTATACTAACCGATGGGAAACAAAATCAACAACTTTGGAACGGAGACCCTGCCATTAATTTCGATTTTTATTTCATGTACTAGAGCCAGCACATTAACATGTTGGAACTCTGTCCCTGAGTTTAAAACTTTTTTTAACAGTAAGACAAAGCCACTTCAACAACCGATAACTTTGAACCCAGTATTATTAGGAAAATGAACATTGACTATTCTTATATGTACGGAAAACCAGACCTTAGGATGATCTGTGCTCATTAAATACCCTCATTTCAACCCACGAGGAGTTGGGTCAAGTGGTAAGCGATTTGTTTCAGCTTAAGCAAGATCTCGAGTTCGAGATATTGTGAATGCAGCAGCCTCTGTTGGTAGACTCACTCACCATTTCCAGGTGCGCGTTGCGGGTCGATCCGAATTAATCAGAGCGAAGTCCCGGATACCGAACAGAAAACCGAAAAAAAAAAAAAAAATACCCCCATTTCATTCTTTCTTAATTCTCCACATCTCTGGTTGGCTTCCAGCTAGTACTCCGTTTAGCAGCCATGGCCGAGGGGAAGGTTTGTGCTAATTAAATATCTTTTTTTTCTTTTTGGGAAAAGGATAGGCTTTTGTGTTTTAGTTGATGCATCGGCATAGCTTCCTAATTAATTTTGCTCATCTTATCTGCCCTTTCTTCTATGTCAGAACCTGAATCTTCTTCTTCCACATAATCCTTTTATGGAAACTTCCTTCTCTTCTAATATATATATATACTTGCTTTTACAGGTGACTACAATGGTGCTAAATGTGGATTTACAGAGCTCAAAATGCTACAAGAAAGTCAAGAAACTTCTCTGCAAATTTCCTGGTGAGTCTCTTTCTCCAATTTTGTTAACATAATTTCCGTACGCATTGAATAAATTGATCAGCATAATGGACTGAGTCGTTGTGTTGTGAACAAATTAATTAAAGAAATACGAGATCAGGAGTATGATGAGAAGGCAAACAAGGTGACAATTAAGGTGATGAGCTGCTCGCCGGAGAAGATCAGGGACAAGTTATGCTGCAAGGGTGGTGGATGCATCAAGAGCATTGAGATACCTCCGCCTAAGCCTCCGACTCCACCTCCGCCTAAGCCTCCGACTCCACCTCCGCCTAAGCCTCCGCCTCCGACTCCGACTCCGCCTCCGCCTGAACCTAAGCCAAAGCCTGTGAAAGTATCTGTAGATGTACAAGTCCAGGGGACTATTTCTTGTAAATGCTCTAGCGGAAGGCCTAGGGACCCATGTTCCTGTGGCGGGCAATTCCAATGCGTTGTGTGTTATTATAAA